GGATACAGCATTTAAAACTTTCATTAGGGAAATCACCTGTGCACTCACTGTTATCAGCTGCAGCATAAACTCTCGTACATGTATTCACTAAGGAACACAGGGATTGTTACTGGCTCAAACCACTGGTCTCTTGTCTTACCTGCTGCCACTACCCAAGGCACATGAACCGGCACCTGGCTTGGCTGTAGTTTGTGCCCACATTAGTGAGTTCTGATGCTTCGATGCTTCAGTCTTGATGATGACAACCTCTCAGAGGTGTTTTGGAGCTGCATGCCTTTAGGAAAATAAAATCAGTTTCAGATCCTGCTAGTTGCCCATCCTGTCTTTTTTGCTGACAGAGAGAGGCTTGACCGGTCTCCTCTGAATCTCCATAATGAAATCAGGGTATAGTAGAATCCAGCTACTTTGCAGGGTTAGGTCCCTTTGCTCCTGAGTAGATGAGGATTTTCAAACTAACCAGGGGTATATATACCTGCAGCGAGCATCTGTGTGGGATAATCTCTTCTCTGTGGTTTTTATTTCAAGGACCACTGCTGTTCCCGTTAGCTGCGTGAGACCACTGATGAGCTCCAGTTGATCAGAGGAACCTTGCCCTTCAAAAGCAGGGTTGTCAAAAATCTGACCCGCAGAACCGCATCATCTAGCTCCCAGTGCTGCCCCTGGGACTTGAGTTTGTCCACATGTTGTACAAAATGCATACCTGACCAACCACATGCACAGGGCCCAGGATGTATGCCCCACATGGCACCCACTTTAGCTAGCCCAGATCCCATGCTGCAAGTAGCACCTGCTCCGGCTCATCCGGGTCCCACACTTCATGGGATGCCCTCTAGCCAGTCCAGGATGGATGCTTCCTGGGTCCTAGATTGGCTAAAGTGGGTGCTGTGCATGGCACACATCCTGGACCACATCCTGGGATGAGCAGTATGGGTCCTGGCTCCAGGGAGAGGTGGGACTGCGGGCCTAGTCTGGGCCAGGGGCCAGCCCTGCACCACTCATCCAGCCCATGGAGCGACATGAGTTTGACATCCCTGATTTAAAGTAAAAGCTGCATCCAACAGCTAAGCAGCTTGTCCTTAATTTAACAACTCACTGGCCACATCTACACAAGAAGCTGACTGTGCAGTCATTACTGCAGTCGTTTAGTACTTCCATACTTGTGCATACATGTACTAAATGACTGCACAGAGCCAGTTACCATTCAGTACCATTGCTGAACGCCTTTGAGGTGACGCTGATTGCACAGTTGCTCGTTACAACCACGCAGTAGTGTTGTGTCAAGCTTCATACTCTAGTGCGCAGTTGTAACGAGCTAGTGTGCAGTCAACATCTCGTGTAGATGCAGCCACTGTGAATTGAGTTGTCAACCACCTGGATATGAATGATCCAAGTTCTACTGGAGCAATTATACCTAGTGCCAGACGGATTTCCCCCCATCCCAAGCTTCTGCATGACTGGGTTGCCAAAATTAGGGGTTTTTCTTTTAATTTGTCAAACTTAAAGTTTAATTTTAATTGTTTTATTTTTAAGAGCATCCGAACATTACATAAAAGACTTATTTTTATGTTGAAATGACTGTGTATTGTTGCATTTTTCAGTGAAATCCTGTTTCCCTCATTTTCAGATATGAACTGCGGATCCGTTATTTACCCAAAGGATTTTTGAATCAGTTCACTGAGGACAAGCCAACACTAAATTTTTTCTATCAGCAGGTAAATGTATTTTCCTGTTGTTTATTGTGTCATTTTTAGTTTGTGAAAGTTTGTTTTAATGAAAGGAGTAAGTGGCAGCAGCAGTAGAAATACACAAAACATTGTAGCACATGTGGAAATGGAAAAGAGTGATATTTTTCTTCCTACAAAGTGATGAGTAATGTTTTGTCAATGGGATGTTTTGGCAAATATTTTCACAACTTGGATGAAATGTGTAGTTGGCTCTTTCATTCCTGTTTCTCACTTTATTGGATGATTCGTTTCCTTTATTCTTGGAAGCGTAACTAAGTGAGTTGTATTTACATCTGTGTAATTATTCTGCAGCCCAAATACATCAGGGTATTTTCAAGTGTCCTCCTAGAATTCACTTCTTGCTATTTAGCAGTGATCTTGAAAAAGATGCATGAAGAAATAGCCATTACAGCAGTCATTAATCCCTCAAGCTTTATTTTCAGATCTGAGGTCTTGTTTGTGTGCTTACCTGAGGCCAATTCTCATGTGTGGATGTTAGAAGTGAAGCACTAGAAAATCTCTGTTTCAATGTCTGAATTTCAAAGTAGGTGCTGAAAATGGATAT